TGGAGAACCCTCTCATTGTACTACACAACCTACACATGGTTCCACCTCCCAAACACCTACAACTCCCCAAAGTAACCAAGCTACACCTACCCCTCATGTTACTTCCACTTCCCAACCACATTTAGTTCCTCAAACTAACCAGTCTATACCTACCCCTCATGTTCCTTTAACACAATTCCCAAATATGATTGAAAGACCACAAACAAATCCCTCCATTGATGCTACTGGTAGTCCAATTGTTGGATCATCATCCTCTATTGATCCATCTTTAGAAATTGGAAGCTTTGACTCTGATGGACGTATTTGGATTCGCCCAGGTCCACAAAACACGTAAGTATGAATAATTATTTTCTTTTAGATCAATATAAACATGTTTCGTGTTATAAGTTATTTTAGTTCTTCTATTTTATTTTTATAGATTCGACCCACCAATTCACCCTACCCGTGAAATTTCAAGAATAATCAAAGGGAAGTTTGAAGGGTCATGGGAATCATATGGAGAGGTTAAAAGCACTAATGAAGGTGTGGCAAACATGTGGTTTGAAGAGTTTCAGGTATAAAGAACTACAAATATTATAATAACCATTTTATATTTTTCATTGCATTAAATTGCACATTGTTTAAATAAAATTTTATAAATTTTTGATGTAGAGAAAGTTCAAGTGGCTGCCTGATCATGATGCACAAATAAGAAAAGCATTTGACCATAAAGCATCTGAAGGGCTTTCAAATGCTATGTATAGGGTGCGACGAGGCATTGATCTAGGGAGTTGGATTCCAAAGCAAAAACGTGTAGAACTTCAACAGAAATGGAATGATGAGAATTGGAAACAAAAGTCAATGACTAATGCTAATAATAGAAATTCTTCTGATGGTTCATTGCATACTGGGGGATCCATTCCTACTTCTGAGCATTTTAAGAGATTGCTAAGTATATTAACTTATTCTTTTCAGGAGCAAAATTTAAAATTAAACTAGATTACTTTTTGTTCCTTCAGAAAATATCTAGAGATATGACTCCAACATGTTGGGACCTATTCCAAAAGACCCATAAGACAGCGAACGGGAATACATGGGTGTCTTCCAAGGCAGAAAGGATAGCGGTAAGTTATAATTTTATATATATTGAATTATGAAGAAGTTGATTGATTCTGTTAGAGAGATAACAATGATTATGTTTGCAAGACTTGACATATAATGGTTATATTAGAGACACAACAATGGTATATCACAATTACAAGAGAAAAACATATTCTTCACGTAAAAAAAAAGTTCTTTATAAGATCAATATAACTGGCGGATTCCATTTATCATAGCAGTCTATAACAGATTTCACAGTTTGTGAGGGATTCTAGTCATCACAGTTTGTGACAGATTTTGTTCTTGTGATAGATCCTTCATAGTTTGTGACGGATTCTAGTCATCACAGTTTGTGAGGGATTCTTGTCATCACAATTTGTGAGGGATTCTAGTCATCACAGTTTGTGACGGATTCTATTCATCACAGTTTGTGAGGGATTCTATTCATCACAATTTGTGACGGACTTTATCCCTCACAAATTTGTGACGGTGGTAGCCCCTCACAAATTGCGATGGACTTAATCCCTCACAAATTGCGACGGAGTTACAGGTCGTCACAAATTACGACGAATTTTTATTAATTTATAAACATTTATTGTTAGCAATTAGTGACGGAAAATATATCTTTTGTGACGCCTTCACTCCGTCACTAATTGTGACAGACTGAAATTTCCGTCACTAATGATTTTGTGACGCCAATTTTTGTGACGGAATCAGTTCCGTCACAAATTTATTTTGTGACGGATTTTATAAAATTTAGTGACGGATTTGTTTCCTCTCTAATTTTAATTTTTCTAGTAGTGTACCCAGAAGTCAAACAAAGTATATTAAATGAAAACCTAGATGATTCCAAAATCGTACAAATCTAGCCACATAATGCTCTAAGCACGAATAATAGAAAGTTCCAATCCAAAGTATCAAATGTTTTATGAATGTCAAGCTTAATCACCAAATGACCACCAAAAAATTACCTATCAAGCATATTAATAGCCTTAGAAGCAACACAAATGTAGTCAGATATATTTCACCCACAGATAAAACCTTTTTTCTCCAAAGAAATAATCCTAGTAGAAATGAAAACCAATTTATCTACCAAAACGTTGGAAAGTAACTTGAATTGAAAGTTTGTCATGGAAATAGGTCGAAATTCCTCAATTCAATTTGCCCCAAAAAACTTTGGTAAAAGAGCCACCAAATTGGAATTCAAACTAGGAAGAATCCAATTTTGATAAAAAAAACAATTGTAGGACTATAACACTCCTCACATTTGACATTTCAACAACTCCATTCCATAATATTTCTCACGGTAATACTTCACACAACTCCTCGTTGGTTAGAACCTTTCATTGGTCAGAACCCTTCTAGGATAGCTCTTTCTAAGATATTCGTTCATTTTAAGGATCAACGACACCCATAAACCAATACAAGACTTTTTAGTGTATTTTGTCTTCACTCGAACATTTTTTAGGAAAATTCTCAAAAAATCACCCATCTCTAAATTTATTCACTCACACATGTATAATATATGGAACTCTCTCATTTTGGTATGTTTAGGTTGTTACAAGGTTCAAATGAGAAACATCCAAACCAATAATATTCCAAAAGGAATGAAAGAAGTTGCCACTAAAACCATCAGAACCAAAAGCACCCAAAGGACTCATATAAAAAACATGTTTTTTGACCTCCTTCTATGTGGGTAGATTAGTAAGCATAACATTGTCCTCATCAGAAACACTAGGGGGAATCACGGTGTCAACCAACTCATTAAGGATACAAATGTTCTCTAAATCATATAAGGAAGCACAATATTGAAGAACATTCTTGTGAATAGTCTCTTGATCATCAATAATTGAGTCACCAACCCTTAGAGAAGTCAACTATTTTGCTTGCAACTCTAAATCCACCCCACTACAAAAATGCACCTCCTAAGATGTGGAAACTTTTCTAGTAATTAAGTTATCCTATATATAGTATTGTGATCAAGGTTCTTGAGGAAACTATTGTACATTGTTGTTCATCTTCACGATCAATCACAAATAATAATTCATCTTCTAGATTAGAACCTGAATAATCATAAATGTTAATAACTTGAGTTGTGTGATAACACTATTTTTAAGTACTTATCCGTGTGATATTCAAGTCTCTTAGGATATGACATGTTTATCCCAAGAATAATTACAGAACTAGTAAGTTTTATAAGAATAACCCAAGAGTGATAAAGATGTGCAAGGAGACATATTTTTAAAACCTTCTGAAATAGTTATATTTATAAGAAAAAAAAATATATTTCTCAAAACTTCCTGAGACCAAGTCAACATATAAGATCAGATAAGATGAGACTTAATCTAAAAGACCAAGTCAACAAAACTAAATTAATTAAAATATTTATCTAATAAAAAATAAATGTTAATTTGAAAAATATATTAACCATTTTGAAATATCCACTCAAAATTTACAACAATACCCCACACATTTTAAAAGGTTAAAGAAAAGTTTTAGTAAAGAAAATAATTTTTGGATTCTCATTCTCTTGGATGTAATGCGTCGGATCTAGTGTACCAGACTATATGAACTAGACCTAGACTGATAAGACTTAACACAGTGTAATTGGTTCAACAAGTTATATGAACCAAAGATACTTGACGTATGTTAGAGATCTACTAATCACATGAAACCTCTAAAATCCTTGTTGTTATCGTTATTGTGTGCTAATAGGCCATGCACGTGTATGATATTCATGAGTACTCTAGAGATCTCATTAAGACCTCATACAAGCGAACTCACTTAACACTCATATAGGTAATTTCATCAAGTGTATTCTACCAATCATACACCACCCATAAGAGATATGAAAATCATTAAAATTTTATATAATGTCAAGTTTTCCCATAACTTCATAAAGCTCAACTATAAAAATTATCCTCGCGTTAATGCAACTCTAACACTTTCTCACATCATAGGAAGAAACTTAAATATTAAAATTGATAAGAATCAATTCAGTATCAGCAGAACTGACAAGTTACTTGTTCTTAATCATATGAACCTTATTCATAGGATATCTAATCACAAAGGTTGGGTTATTACCATCACTTATTTTTTTTCAAGTGGCTTAATAAAGTCTCATTCACCTCTATGTTTAGTATAACAATATCTTCCTTAGGGGTTTATGTCATAGGATCAATCGAATCCATTGTTGACTTTACATGATCAATAAATTAACTTTAATCTTTTTAATTAAGCAATTATTTTATCACATTATTCAATCTCAATCTTATATTAACAAAGGAATATTTCTAAGAGATTTTTTAATAACTTAGCCTCACAATCAACCATATCAAGAGTAATAAACTTGACTCAATAATTATTTAGTTGTTTGATCTCAAAGTAATTACACTACAACTAAGTATAGTGATTCAACCAATGGTGGATTTTGTCTCATTTTGATCAAAGATCCAATTATTACCATCATTGTATTCTAATACAATGAAAAATCAACTATGTTGAATACCATTAATTTATTGTATCTCCCCAACATCTCATAGTATGTAAAATTTTGTAATATGGAGAACTTCACATTGACAGTACTATAGTTAAAAATACAAATAATTTTTTTAGCAATTCACATAATTCTTAGCATCTCATGTCATAAGTGACAAATTCCTTCAAAAGTTAAACATAGAGAACTCACATCTCCAAGAGATGGTGGAGGTATTGTCTCATAATAAGAACTAAAACTTACTCCCTTAAGAAGTCAACAAAGGATTACAACTTATAAATACTTTTATCAAGTCCTCCTTTTGACTTAATCTTGTCACAAGCTTATGGATAGATTTCTCTTGTTCTTTCCAAGAACCATTCTCACAAAAAAAAATTGCACCAAAATTCTCAAATCTTGCTAGTTTTATATCATAAAGTTGCCTTAATTTTAAACTCACATTCCTTACATCATATCACATCTCAACCTGATTTACCAAAACTACAAGTCTAGTTTAGTCTAAAAACCATGTATCAAAATCAAATATGAACTTACTTGTCATTCACTTTATTTAAAAAACCTAAAACTTTCATACCTTTTTAAGAAAATTTTATCACTATAAATCTGCACAAAAACTTCCATAATTAAAATCTTTATAAACATTAATAACTTCTTTAAATCAACAGAACACATAAAAAGTACGCTTATAAAGATCAATAACTTCTTTAACAAACTTAGAAACTAAAAAAATAAATCATTATATGTTAAGAATATTCTATCAAGTAATTTTGCACATCACTAATACCAAAGGCATCACCATTCATCATATAATTGAAACATTAATTAATCAAAAACTTAACTAACACTAGTTATATCTCCTCAACATTAAACTTATCTCTCAACAAGGTGTAGTGAATATTTATTATTTATTTTACATAATACTATAAAATATTATATTTTTTAATAATAATTTTGATATTGATAATTAGATCATTGTAATTTGACAGGTGAGATTTCACTTGTTAAATTGTTGCAATGGGTTTTTTTATATCAATATCGATATTATTATATTTTATAATACCTTATAATATTATATAAATATACAATAAATATTTACTATACTTTACTGAATTGCATACAAAAAAGAAGAATATTCTAGGATTATTAAGATCACTAGTGCAAAAATTAGTTTTAAAATCAGGGTTTTAAGATCGGTTAAAAGGTGACCGATCTTAATATTGAGGTGGTGACAATTTTGTAAATAATGTGAACACTTTTAAGATTGATTAAATTTTAAATGATCTTAAAAGTTATGTCTAACACAACTTTTAAGATCGGTTACAAAAGAACTGATCTTAAAAGTTGTGTCAAAAATACCTTTTAAGACCGGTCATAGAAGAACTGTAACTATTTAAAAAATACAACGCTCTCCCTTAGTCATTCTTCCTCGCATGCACCTCCCTTACTCATATTTTAGGATGAATAAACATATTAAGTTAATTAATAATTTATTTAAAATGTTAAAATTTAATTTATAAAAATAATATTTTAAAAGAGAAGGGTTATAATAACACTGATGTAACTTTTACTAAGTATTACACCGCTCAATAACTTTATATTAAATGTGAATTTTATAAATTCAACCGTTAGATTAAAATTTTTTTACTCTTAGCTCATATATACAAATTTTTATGTTAATTCAAGATGATTTGATACTTCATTCTTATAAAATAAAATTGACGTAATATATTTCAAAATATACTAGAATATGAACACTTTGATTACCTTCAAGTTGTTGTTCAATTTTAACAAAATTTGATATAAACATATAAAGTGATATGAACTTTCAATCTAACGGTTGAATTTACAAAATTCACATTTAATATAAAGTTATTGAGCGGTATAATACTTAGTAAAAGTTGTACCGGTGTTATTATAACCCTTATCATTTTAAAATATATAAATTATTATTTAAACTTTTAAATTTATAATAAATAATTTAAATTGTATCATAATATTAATTTTAAATAGAAATAAGTAGATTATTAATTATACAAGTAAGTATATATATATATAAATAAAGATTAATTAAATATAATATAATTAGTATTATTGATAATATAATTATTATATTTTTATAGAGGTCTGGACACACCAAAATGAGAGGGATCCAAAAATAGTATAAGTATAAGATTGTATAGTTGAGGATGACTTAAATGAATTAATTTGTACTACTTATACTAACAACATGCATTTGCTTTTCGGTAGCTTATCTTATCAGAACTCTACAATTAAGCGTATTTAACTTGGAGTAATATAGAGATGGGTGACCTTCTGAGAAGTTTCCCAGAAAATGTGCAGTAAGGATAAAACACGTTGAAAAGTGAAGTGTCATGAAATAACATCCTTGAGGCCAAATATGAAGGTTGTTACATTAATAAATTTATTAAAATTAGACAAAAATTAAACCTGGTACTTTTAAGATTGGTTATTTCGTAACCGATCTTAAAAGCTAGACTATTAAGATCGGTTAAATAACCGATTTTATTGTCTCTTTTAAGATCGATTCTTTAACCGATGTTAAAAGTCAAAAATAAATATCTTAAATGTCTTTTTTTTACTAGTACAATGGATTTTTTTTTATATCAATATCGATATTATTATATTTTATAATACCTTATAATATTATATAAATATAGGATAAATATTTACTATACTTTAATGAATTGCATACAAAAAAAAAGAATATTCTAGGATTATTAATTAAGGATGTCACTTTATAATTTATATATGTACATTTTATAATATCATATGGATCAAACCCATTCTAATAATGCATAGTTTCAAAAGCAAATAAAATATATACTTTAAATACCAACCAAGTAAATGGTCATAAACTTATACTTACATGCATACACAAAGTATAATCATATTGTATGTGTGTACCACTTCATTGTTACTTACATGCATGCACAAAGTATAATTATATTGTATGTGTGTACCTCTTCATTGTGATGCAACAATGAACAAGAATCATTATATTGCGAAGAACATAACGTCCTCCTGTTTTATTCCCTTTCTAACTAACTGCGAAAACATCATCACATCACAGCAGAATGATTCAGTGGAACAGTGCCCACAACAAGGTTGAGCCTCCAGTGGACGTGTGGCAATGGGAGTAAGCAATTGGGAGAATGTTCTGGAGAGACTGTCAAACTTTAGAGCGATATTTACTTCACCACATGATCAACTTCTCACGTATGCTAATTGCTAAGCTTCAATATGTAACCACCATTCTGCTTCACTGTTTGCCTCAAAGTGACCGCATTCGGATCCTGATCCATGAAGAAATCAAAGTGGTAGCGAAGGTGATGACTCATGGTTTTAAATTGCGGACCGCAACACGTGTTGCGGCCGCAATATTGCTGTTGCAGCCTTGTTCGCAACGGCATCGGACCGCAATTGCGATGATACTGGAAATCACACATTTTTCTGCAACGTAACGGTGTTGCGTCCGCAACACATCTGCAATGTACCGCAATACATCCGCAATACGATAAATTGATACTATAATTTTAAAATAAATTAAATTATTCATTAAAATAATAGAATATTTAAAAAAAAAAGAATTAAAATGTATAAATCCTTAAAAATAAAATATATATTGATAATTATAAATTTTTTATATTTAGTGAAAATAATTAATAATCTCACACCGCAACAGTCGCAATCCGCATCGCAATACCTGCAATACCCGCAACCGCAGTAACTGCAACCGCGACCGCAACCACCATGACTGATGACTGATTAAGTGTTTCCCGTGGCAAATTCACCTACAAGATCACATGCCTGTAATGTTGAGTATGCAAAGCCAATAAAATTCACACTTCACAGATAAACAATTAATACCTATATTCTCTGTAGAGATCATAGGAATCGACACTCCAACCTTGCATCTTATCCGCCGCCATAACAGAGAACGAAATCAGACACACCACCACCTCGCTCAGCCGGAACCCTAGCACAGCCTTACTCACTGCCTCCGGCAACTTTCGCCGCTCCAGTGAAAATTGCTCACTAGTGATTCTGCGTTTTGCGTTCGCATTGGTTTGTGTTCTAGGATTTTGCAAGGGCGCTAGTTTGGCGGTGTCTACCATCCACCATGAAACTTAAATTTTCATGGACAACAACTAACCTTTGCATGTATTGTTGTCCATCTTTATAATCATTCACAAACAGGGATTCACTTTCTGGTCTAGAACTTGTATAATCATAATTCATAAATATTAACAACTTGAGACGTGTAATGACATTATTCTTAAGTGTTTATGTACGTAAGTCTCTCATAATATATAACAAGTTTTTTCTAAGAATAATTGAAGTACGTGTAATAACATTATTCTTAAAGGACTTATTTATGTGATACATAAGTCTCTCACAATATAACAAATTTTTTTCAAGAATAATTGGGGTAATAGAACTATAATATTTTATAAGTGAGAATAATTGATAAAGATGCATAAGGAGATACATTTTTAAAACCTTTTAAAATAGTTATATTTATGAGTAAAGAAAAATTAATTCTCAAAACTTTTTGAGATTAAAAGTCAATAGATTGAAGATAAGATATAACTATTTTTAGATGACCAAGTCAAAATATAAAATACGATGAAACTTGGTCTAAAAGACCAAGTCAACAAAATTAAATTAATTAAAATATTAATAAAAACTAAATCTTAATTTAACAATTATATCATTTTAAAATATCCACTCAAAATATATATCAGAAATTTTATAATAGTTAGTTTATAATTTATTCTGCACATCACATAGGCACAAGTATTTGTTTGTAATTATTTGTTGAAAAGCCTAAAAACACTGTTTTACATTTTTATTTATTTATTTATAAATATACATCTTTTGCCATTGGATAAAATTGATGTTGATCTGGCTATAAATGGATTGTTCAGATTATTTAATAGAGGAATTTATCCAATATATGGTAGAAAAAGGTATTTTAAGGAAGCTCGTAACTAAATATCATCTTAAAATTCACATTTCGTAAGTTCAAATCTTTTTCTTAAAGTATGTATGCGTTTGTGAATTATTTTTATAAGTAGGAAATTTATATAATCAAGTGTAGCAAAGATATTCAATAACAGATAATGTATTTATCAAGACTTTATTATTTTTCATTCCTACAATTTAAACAAAAAAAATATTATAAATTATAAATAAGGTATGTTTTTCTTATCCTAGAAGTTCTCTGGAATTACATAATGTTGAATTTTGAGTTTTTGACTTTGGTATTTTCTTTATGTTTCGGTCTATATCCATTCGTAGATAAGAATTCAACCATATGTGATTTGATTAATCCACGTCTTAATGTTCTATTATAACCAATAGGATGGACGAGGGAGGAAGAATTTTCAGTTATTAATGTGAATGTGTCATCCTTTGGTGTAACGCGTGTGCAATTTTCCATCTAGGGAAACGTACACTTAATAAACTCTAGCTATAGTAGAGTCTTTATCCTTAAATTTGAATATTCATTATGGTCAAACCTGTATCTATATATAAATGCATGGAGATTCATCTCAAAGAGCAACCAGAAATTGCTTTGAATATTTCATAAGAAAAATGAACGATAGAATGGCGAAAAAAACAAGTCCAATGAATTTAGCATTGATTGTAATGTTCATGATTGCGTTGTTTGCCTCAAACATGCTTGTTTGTAGGGGAGAATGGGAGGGAAGTTGGAGCAGCAAAGCTGCAGAAGAAGCTGAGGCTGTTGCAGCAATACCATGCTCAGGACATGGAAGAGCCTACTTAGATGGTTTAATTCTTAAAGGACATCATCAACCTGTTTGTGAGTGCAATCCATGCTATTCTGGATCTGATTGCTCCAACTTTTCATCTGATTGTTCTGCCGACGCTGGAAGGTACGTAAACCCTTTCTCATAAATTTAATCTACTGATACTAATAATAACTTCTAATTTAACCTATGCTCTCAAAATTGCATGAGTAGTCTACCTCAATATCAATTATATTACTGAGTTTAATAGATCATACACTGATAGTACAAAATGGTTTTATATTGTCCACTAATCAGATATCACAGTTACTATGATGACTTTATTTATTCGCTATAAGAGTCAATCACTCTATATTGTTTATTCATTAAGATTGGCCATATAAATTTTTAAATCAAATGCAAAATGTTAGCAAACAAGAATGCTAAAAGTATTTTTTAAATTTTCTGATCGATATTAATTAAATTTTATGTTTAATAGAGTTTATTAAATTCGTTTATTGCAGTGGGGATCCATATTTTTTGGAGCCATTTTGGATGAGACATGCAGCAAGTAGTGCGATTTTAGTATCAGGGTGGCACAGAATGGGTTATTCTTACAGCGATGGATCATACATCTCAGAACTACTTGTTGAGTACCTCAAAAAAGTTCATTCCATCGTTGGTAATGCAATAACTGATGGAAAGTACTTCATATTTGGAAGTGGCTCAACACAACTCCTTAATGCTGCTGTTTATGCATTGTCCCCCAACTCTTCAGATTCTCCAGCAAAAGTGGTAGCCACAGCCCCATATTACCCGGTGAGCTCTTATATTTTCACAAAATTTTTATTCAAATTAATTTATTATGTATTTGTCATTATTTAATTAAAATTGGAAAAAAATTGTGTTGACCTTTTACTTAATTGGAAAATGTTACTTCCTCTGTCCTGTCATGTTTTAAAAAAAATAATTAAGTCCCTAAACAATTGTATGTTAGTTTTTTAATTTGGAATTAATTATTATTCTATATTTATACTCTTTATAATAACATTTAAAAAACTATTATCGTATATTATATTATTTTTAACAAATGAAAGATCAATCATAAATTTATTTTACAAAAAGTATTATTTATTTATTTATTTATTACTTTTTTTTTTGTCTATATAAAACAAATTAGGATGACATTTATTATGACAGAAAAATTACATCAATATATACTAAAGGATGAATTAAATATAAGCTTTGTACTACTACATTTTTTACGTATACATTAATTTATATTTTGTATAAATTATAAAATTAGTAGATAGATGACATAAATTGTGGTAAACTCTTTGCGACAGGTCTATAGAACACAAACAGAATTTTTTAATTCTAGGGATTATATCTATGAAGGAGACACATCTTCGTGGAAAAACAAGACAGATAGCGACTCAATATTTATTGAGTTTGTGACTTCACCAAACAATCCAGATGGAAAGTTGACTGAGGGAGTTCTTGAAGGTTCAAATGTAAAATCGATATATGATCGTGCCTATTATTGGCCACATTTCACTGCTATTCCTTCACCAGCTGATGATGATCTTATGATCTTTACAATTTCCAAACTCACTGGCCATGCTGGGAGCAGATTTGGGTGAGATATATTACTACATATGAAACTTTCATCAATTAAGCTAAGTTATATAAATCTATGAAATAGAATCTACATATATTCACGTACGGTTGCCATTATTTAATCATAAAGGTTTTCTTTATTACCTTTATAGTGTGTGTTTGGATGAAGAATTTTATAAATTTAAAGAATTTTAAATTCTTGGTATTTGAATTACTTTTATTTCAATTTCTATCATTCTTAAAATATTTTGTTTGGATGAGTCAATTCAAATTTCTTAAATTTTAAATTGTTAGGTTGAATATGATAATTTGATTCCATCATTGTAAAATTTATTTTAAAAATATATTTATATGTTGAGATTTTTAAATTAAATTTTATAAAAATAAATATTAATCCATTTTTAAATATTTAATAATTTTAAAAATTAATATAAGATAATATTTAATTTTTAAAAATATTTTTGAATATCCAATAATTAAAAGAATGAAGAGATAAGATAAAATATATAGGTGAAATAAGAAAAACAAATATGAGAAATTTCAAATTCTCCCATTTTTGGGAGAATTTGAAATTCTATTATTTTAAAGAATTTCACAAATGCTTGGATTTCAAATTCTTTGTAAATTCCTCATCCAAACAAAATATTTCACCTCAAGGAATTTGAAATTCTTCAAATAAATGAATTACCCTATATAAATTTCTCATCCAAACACACCATTAGGGTCGTTTAGTCAATATATAATTTAAGAGTACTAGTTAAGTTAAGGACCACTAAATGTTTGAAAAATAAGTTAGATATGACTTTTATACTTTTTAGCATTTTTTTTTTATTTGGATTCCTCATTAATTGTCTTCATTTAAGTTAGATATACATGATATCAATTTTTTCAAAATTGACCTATAACCGAAACAAGACTTGTCTTGCTAAAATGACAATATATATAAAAACGACCTTATAGCACTTTGTCCACCATTTGATTTCTCATTTCTAATCTACTATAGCATATAAATTAACCCCTACAAATTGTAACTAAGATTAAAAAATAATAACTCCATTAAAAGCTTCTCTTTTACCTAGTAATCTGAAGTTTTGGTATTTGTTATGATTTTTCTGAATGAATTAACATACTGGCATAAAATTACAGCTATAGCTAGCTATAAAGACATTCTAAGATCAGAGTTTGGTAATTCTCTAAAAGTTTCTACAGAGCCTAAAGCACTTCGGGATTTTGAATTGATATATATATATATATAATTTGAATTCTGCAATGTTATATAAGAAAGGATAAAGTGAGTGTATATTTCAGATCAAAATTAATATCTACTTTATCAGAACTACAATATAATACATATTTTGAATTATGATGTTTTAACAGATGGGCAATAATAAAGGATGAGACAGTATATGAAAAGATGTTGACATATTTGAGCATGAACACGATGGGGGTTTCCCGTGAGGCTCAGTTGAGAGCCTTAAAGCTTTTGGATGTGGTTGTTGAAGGAGATGGAAAACAAATATTTCAATTTGCATATTCAACTATGAGAGATCGTTGGACAAGGTTGAAACAAATCATATCAAAATCAAAACGGTTTTCTCTACAGAAACTGTCTTCTGAATACTGTACCTTTTTCAAGAGGCAAAGAGATGCTTCACCAGGTAATTAAACGCCAAATTACAGATAACATTTTTAGTTTTCATAACTTTCTTCACCCTTTAATTATGAAACCCTTTTATTCATAAAATGCACTAATGGTATAAATTATATATATATATATATATATTATCATCCAATTACAAACATATATATATATATATATATATATATATATATTATGCTTTAAAACTTGTGATACTAATTCTACATTATCATTAAATTCTTTCTGATTCTGTTTTAATACACCACTTATTTGTGAATTTTATGAAGAATTAATTAATAGCTAATCTCAGTTTAATTTCACAATACAAATTGAGTAAAATATATGAAGTGCAAAACTTTTCCTTTGTCCTTACAAAACAATTTTTCCTCAGCGTATGCTTGGGTAAAGTGTGAGAGAGAAGAAGACAAGAATTGCTATGAAATTCTTGAAGCTGCTGGTATCAATGGCCGTGAAGGACGTGTCTATAGCGCAGATAATCGTTACGTGCGTCTCAGTCTCATTAGAAGTCAAGATGATTTTGAGATACTAATAAACAAGCTCACAAATCTTGTTGCTAAGGGATAGGGATCCAAATAAAGTTTACAATTAGTGTCATAATATCAAAATAATTACGTACCAATAAAACCTTCTGAATTCGGTGGTATATATGGTTGTTTGTTGAGTAAAAAAGTATTGTTTCTTGTACTCTTAGTGTAAAACCGTGATATCGAATTAATAAAGCATTGCTCTTGCTCATTTTAGTAAGGCATTAATCTAAAATGCCTTTAAATACTAATTACGAATGCATTCAGTATTGTGGCTGCTGTTTTAGTTTTTTCTATGGGAGAGCTGCCCTTTAAGAATAGAATTAATTATCATCAAATACCGGAAATCATCTGAAGGACAAATAAATCTTATCCATAGTATAGATTAGTTTTTTTTCTTTTTTTTCAAAACTTATTCATGCAATGTCCTAAACATTAGTTCATAATTGTTGGTTTTACAGTATTATATGAATCATGTATTTAAATAAAGAAAAAAAAACCTTATTGATCAATAGTCATTTGTTATCTACTTGTATTTTAAACTTCATGAGTAGAAGCTTTAGCGAACTAGACTCTTCTTAAGACGCGAGTTAAAACTTTATTCAATCTATGTAATTGGTTAGTAATATGATAATTATTTTTCATTTATATATATTACTTTTTTTATATAATAAGTTTATATGAAATTTCTAACATATTCCTTCACAAGTTATAAGGGATTGAATATTTTGAATTAAAATTTGTAGGACTGAATATCTGTCTATCAGACTCAATAATTATCATTAAGATAAACTTTGATGTTATATTAAAATGAGTTTGTTCAAACAAAATTGGTTAACACAAGTAGTAATGTCCATTAACTAAGATGTCCAAAGCTCGAATCTTTGCTTTGGGTATGAAAAAACTATACTGAGAGAGAAAATATTTACTTTGTGTGTATTTACGATTCTCAATAAAAATTAGTCGCTAACTCCTAAAAATTGCTTTAGTTATGTCGTGGAGAATCTTCAAATACTTTTATCTTTATATAACAACTAGATTTTGACCCAGATGTATATATGTAAATGTTTGTTTATTGTTATTATTTTACTAAATTAAATAGTTTTATTATGTATTATTAAAAAATAAAATATTGTTAATAAAAGTTTATATTTAAACTGACAACATGAATTATATGTCCTAAATATAAATTAATATTTAGTTAAGTTTACTAAAAAATAATTTTTTTAGTTGTGATGTAATTTACAAATTAATTTGGTGATTGGGAAATTTACAAATATATATGTATATATATAGAGAGAGAGAGAGTTAAATATTACCTATACACTCTTAATGTAAAAAAATTTTATACTGGCAACCAATCATATCTTTTAATAGTACCATGTCAGTTGCTTATTTGATGAAATAATAATAAAATAAACAACTTTAAAAGATATAATAGTTACCAGTATAAAAAAATTTACACTAACATTGTATGGATGATTAACTTTTATATATATATATATATATATATATATAAAAGACATCATAGAATTTATATGAATGTTCCCATTATAAATCACTTTATAGAAGTGTTTAATACATAAAAGTGAAATAAAAAAGAAAATCATAGTCTTCTTTAATAGCTACTTGTAACACTAATTATTTGTTACTAAACATTTAAACGCTCCTTTTCCTTAGTTCATCTACAAAAAAAAAAAAAACCCCAAGCGTGTGGTTCAGCGGTAGGGGTTGATCCACGCTTAAGCAAGGTCAGGGGTTCGAATCCTGCCTTGTGTATGCAGCCGCGTTAAATCTTGGGGCCAGCTATCCCACCCTTTGAGGTGCCTCCAACGTAGCGAGGAGATTAGTCACTGCTGTCGGCGGTGGATACTCCAGGAACGAACCTAAAAAAATTTTCAATGATTAAATTAAATAATTTATAATATATATTAAATTTCAATGATTTAATGATTTAATGATTAAATTAAATAATTTATAATATATATTAAATTTCAATGATTAAATATATATATATGTTAAGTTAGACGAAGACGAAGCAATTCCAAGTGAGATTTTGAATATGACAAATATAATACATATTGTTATTTCTAACAAGTGTGTCAGTGTTTCAGAAAAATATAAGTACAGGTAAAATGAAGAATAAACATATGCATCAGACGATATAAGACGACAGACGAAAGCTTCATATAGACAAGTCAAAACAAAGCTTCAAGCATGAAACAAAAAAAAAACTGCAAATAATTATCTGCATAAAAGATATAATATAACATGAGAAAGTATATCAATATTGGATTTGGACATGGATGAAGATTGACAATATATGATATTCATAGTTTGAAGATAAAGCATTAAAACATATAATTAAGGGGGTGTATTAATTTAAGATTTTATAAAAAATTTTAAAGAAAATTAAGTAAAAAAGTTTATTTGAATTTAATCAGCATTTTATATCACTTAAAAACAATCCAGTAGTATTCAGTCTAGATTTTCAAGATTTTTTAAAGAGTCAATTAAAATTCATTAGTATTCATTTGAGATTTTTTACAACTTAAAAATAATTCATTGATATTCAAAAATATAAAGATTTTAAAGGATTGTTGTATTTAGGGATGGCAACGGGGCGGGGCGGGTATGGGTTTCATGATACCCGTCCCCGTCCCCGCGAGCTAAACTCATCCCCATCCCCGTACCCGTACCCGTCGGGTATGTGATTTTCATCTCCATCCCCGTCCTCGTCGGGTATCGGGTATACCCGTACCCGTCAAATTTTTTATTTTTTATTTTTTTAAAAAAAAATATAATATTTTTAAATTATTTTTTTAATGATATTATAATTATAATTATGTTATTTCTTTATCTCATATTATAATGAATAATTACACATAAAAAAATATTAAAATTCTTTAATATAATTAAATTGAAAGTGGGTATTAAATTAAAAATAGGAACGGGGACGGGGACGAGTAAAGATACGGGGCGGATAAGTACATACCCGTACCCGTACCCGATTTAATATATCGGGTTTTACCTGTACCCGTACCCGTACCCGGTCAAACCGGGTATTCCCCGTCAAAGTTGGGACGGCTTTGGGTATTACCCGCGGGTACGGGTATATTTGTCATCCCTAGTTGTATTAGTGGGATTTTGAAGAATTTTTTAGTAGTATCTATAAATACTAAATTCATAAAACAATCACATCCAAATTCATTAGATTTTGGAGGATTGTTTGAAGTGACTTTTCCAAGTAAATTTTTCATTTTTTTTATGCTCATGTTTTCTCCATTTTTTTTCTTTTCTAATATACTACAGTACTGCTCGTATATAATATTATACTTCTGTTCTCATTCTATTCTCCTATTTGGTGAAATTCCAATACGTATATGACAGTGCTAATTAACTTGAATTGCTCTATTTTGCTCTATTTAGTTGAGTTTGTTCCTCATATATATAACATAGAAAATGCTTGAAATTTTAATTTTTAAGTAGTAATTTTTTTATAACACACGTCAAGAAAAGAGAAAGCTGAAAGCTGAAATTGAGATCATAATCTCTATAATCAACTGTAAAATCTTTAAGACCTTGTAATCAATTTAGATTTATTAGAACAAAAAATACTATATATATATATATATATATAAGATGAATTGAGTTAGGATTTTTGTGAATAGAATAAGATGAGAATGAATCTTAGATGGGGAAAAAACCCTCTTAATACAAGAATTGAGATCTCCCTCCCTCCCTCTCTTGAGTTTGTTATTATTATTCATGCTCCTTTTATGACTCAACAATTATAAATTTATAAATAAAATATTTTAAAGTGTTGTTTAGAATAATTTACATTTACATTATAAATATTTTATGCCTCCATTAACTTATTTTAGTTGATTATTTTTATTTTTAATTTATTTTTTTAGTATTATTTATTTTTCTAATATTAATTTTACACATTATTTTTGTAATTAAAAAAATCTCTCAATTATGTTAAATTATATTCATTTTATTTTTATGTTAACATATAAATTTTTAATTATCTAACCTTCCAGTCTACTATATTT